GGATAAATTGTAAATATCGCTTTAATATTTATGTAAATTTTCGTTTTTCATTTTCTCCGTGAAGTATTGCTTCGTTGCTGGTTAAACTTTAATTGTTATTTAAAATTTTTAACACATGAGGGGATAGGAACACTTCCGTTATTCTTCAGATTTTATTATTCTGAAAAAAGTTTTACTATATACATTATTTTAAGTTATTAATAATTAGCAAAATAACTTACGCATGTTATTCCAAATAAAAATCACAATATTAAACAGCAATTGTTGCTATAAAAGCAATAAAGATCAGCAAATGATGGATAGGTGCATTGGATATGGGAGGGACTTTGAACCGCAATAGTGTTGTCTGTAAATATTGCTGATGTACTTGAAAAGGCCTTTTAATATTATACAAATCAAGTGACCTTTGAACTTGCTTTAACATCATTCTAACGATACAGGGCGTTTATATGGTACGTACAATGCTTAAACATTCAATAAAATATATAAAATTTTCAATCAGATTCCCAAGCCATAAATAATACGTATTTAATATCTACATTTACAAAATTATATGTATTTTTGTTTGTTTCACTTAGTTTTTCAATACTTATTTGGAAAATAAAATTAATTATTAATATTTAGATTTGTTAAACCATCTAGAAAGAAAAGGTCTTTATGAATATACACTACTTATTTGTTAGGATCAGCATTAGTTATTTTTAGTTATGAGAACATATTTAAAAATTGTTTCAGAAATGTAATTCACTGATATCATCATTATCATTATCGCGAACGGTTAATATAGAAATTAGAAAAAAGTTGTTAAAGGTGTATGTTTGGAGCACGGCGTTGTACGGGTGTGAAAAGAAAACGTTAGAAGCGTTCGAAATGTGGTGTTATAGGAGGATGATGAGGATAACGTGGGTAGAAAAGGTTAGAAATGAAGAGGTTTTGGAAAGAATAGGAGAATAGAGTACTCTATGGAAGTCAATAACAAATAGGCGACATAGGTTGGTAGGACACCTTCTCAGGCATGAAGGTCTAGTCAGAGACATATTAGAAGCAGAAATAGGAGTTAAGAGGGGTAGAGGTAGACCCAGATTAGATTACTGTTCGCAAATATTTAAGGATGTGGGCTGTTCTAGTTTTAGGGAAATGCGAAGTTTAGCTCAGGATGGGAAAGAGTGGAGGTACGTGTCCAACCAGTCTTAGGACTGACCTTATGATGATGACGATATCTTGCTGAAGACTTACTTGTCTTTGAAATTCATGTACCTATCATTAAATAAGTATGTTCTATATTAATACTTTTTTTTTTAACAATTTTATGTATTTTTCATAGATAAGTCCTTTAGAAAAATCAGTATTTTTTTAAATAACAGAACTGTGAAAATTACTCTAATTTCTCTCAAATTAGTTTCATTTTTAGTTCTTGTTCTATTATATTATAATTTACTACCGCATACTAAATCATTATCGCTTAGTTAATTAATAACAAAATAACGAGGTAATTTAATTGTGATTCACGTTCCACGTAGACACGTACCTAAATGCTACTAA